ATTTATTCTGATGATTACAAAAAATTGACTATTTTGAAAACCCATTGTGGGATCATATTTTGAGCAAGCCTGATCTAAAGTCAACTAAAAATAGAATTCATAGACAAAGTGGAAATAGCAGATCAAAGGTTTTTAAAAAATGTATAGCATTATAGTAACTGTTAGAAAATAAACTTATAATTTCAAAAAGAAATGAGTTTACTAAGTACCTGTTTCATCATTTTATCTCCATGTCTGTAGGTTGATGGTTTATTGGTTTCCTTGAACAAGGCATTTAAATATATTGTTTAAAATTTACTTTCTCAGCTGCTTCCTATTTATTCATTTCCCGTTCTCTTTCTTTTTATACCTATACATAAATGTATGTTGTTAACATCAATAAGTTTGCATCTGTTTTGTGCAACAATATATTTATTTCATCAGCATAATCTCTGTCTTTGTCATTGCCTTTAACCAATTTTTTTTCATTGAATATAATTCAGAGTATTTTAGAATGTGTATGTATATATATATATATATATATATATATATATATATATATATATATATATATATGTATGTGCGTACATATATATATATATATATATGAATGAGGAAGCATGATGGGATCATGGATAGCGGCTTGGATTGAGGAATCGGAGAGCCTAGTTCAAATTCCAGTCAAATCCATTACATTCACTTACGTGCTAATATCCTTGGGAAAGGTGTGAATCCTCTTCTTCTCCCTCCAGCTATGGCTAAATAGCAGGACAGACTGGGTTCTATAGCCTTGGATGGCAACTGGCCTAGGAGAAGAACAACTCTGAATTCAAAACCTGCAGAGGGTTGTTTGGGAACCTTGTGACACATAGTGCACCAGGTCTCTGTATTTGGCCCTTCAAAAAGTGTGGATGGTCCTGCACGAAACCGTCGCCACTATAATCAAATCTCATGTGCTGTTGTCGGGCTGTCAGTTTCCTGGGAACTGATCTGCTTGACCCTCATACGTCGAATTCGATGGGAGAGTTGACAGCGAGTGTATATATATATATATATATATATATATATATTTCCAATTTGAACTAGCTCACTGTAACTATCTCACATTATGTTGTCTCTTTGTACTGATTCAAATTCAAGATCTGTAAAAATGCAAGGATGTAGCCAACAAAATCTTGTCTACAAATATATGATTTTTGATTGTATAAAACTGTTGTAGCATACTTGTCAATGATAATGGGTATGCCCCCATTCCCATAAATATAGTAGGGAATACTGTACTTGGTTGGAGTTGGAGGTTTGTCTCCAGTTGTACTGGTCAAATTCTCTTTCTCCAGCCAGAGAGGATCCCCAGATGAGGCTATGTCGAAGGGCAGAGTCTCATCTTGGGAAACAGCTATCCGACCCTGTTTTATATGGGGCCAACAAGGAATTTTTGTCTGAGCATACAGGCTTGGATACCCCACAATAAATTTGGTCTTGTGCCACATCTGACCACGTTAGATGGTTAGTAGATATCTTAGAGTTGGAGATTCATTATGGAATTCATTTGGCTCACTTCTAGCAGTTGTGTTCTCCTGCTTGTGTGGTATGGTGCAAGGCCTTTTGCCAGACATAGTGTCTTCCAGCAGCCACCCTCTTGACATAGGGCAGCATTACCTCCTCAAGGTACTTGATGTAGACCTTCATGTTGAGACACCAACAAATTCTGAAGTTCTTTTCTTATAAGAATGGTCAGAGTGAGTTTTCTGTTACAAATGATAAGCAGTACAGCATGCCATTTCCAAATTTCTAGCACAGTAAATTGAGTCATGGTGCTTTTTTCTCACAGATGGTACCCAACTGACCCTGCTATACTGTGCAGTTGACAGAATCAATAACAAACAAGGTGCATGCACAAAATTAAAAATAAAAAATGGCAACAATTTACCCATCACACTCTGTATATGCAAGTATGTTAGGAAGCTGATTTAACTTTTCACTATTTCTATGTCTTCTCATAATTGAAATATTTATTAAAAAAAAAATCATCATTTACAATTATAAAAACTTTTATCCTCCCCAGGGGCAGATCAGATGTGCCATATTTGGGAGGAGATTATTTTATTAGCAGGATAACTTCAGGTTGGGGGTTATTGCCACTTCTTTGAAGGTGGTTGTGTTTGATGATTTGGGATTTATCTACTTTTCTCATATTTGTGTAGCTAAGTCTGTTGAAATTGGAACACCACTCCAACTAGCTCAATGTGTTGCTTGCAATTCTCTGGGGCTATATGCTAGCAATCTGGTACAGGAGCTGGCCAGTTTTTTTTTTTTTTTTGCTGTTGAACAAGATTACATGTGTCTTTCTCATAGGTGAATACCTATGTATTTCTTCTGATATAAAACTTTTTATATATATATATATATATATATATATATATATATATATATATAGGGATCAGTCAAAATGCCACAATGCCATTATTTAAAGCTGAAATGCCCTTAAAAACACAGCAATTTTTGCCTTCAACTTAAAAAAAAATTTTTTTTTTTAAAATTAAGAATGAAAAATATTACATGTTTTTTAATGAGGTAGTCCTGAGAATTTTCCAAGAAAAAATTTCACTAAAGCCCTATGCAGATATATTTTCAAAGAAAAGAGGTAGATAAAAGGCATTTCAACAAATGTTACAAGTTTATTTATGTCCATGAGAGCTAGTAAAATAACAAATTTTCAGCACGTTTTTTTTTTGTATGACTGACTTTAATTTGGAAAATCTTGCAAAAATAAAAAGGATTCTCGGATGTTAATGAAACTTTCAGAAACTATTCACATATGATGGAAATTATTGTAAATATGTTTTCTTTTTTTAAAGTCATAGAAAAAATACTTTTTTTATATTTATTACCCCACTCCATAACTAATTTTATGAACACTCTAGAAATTCAGTCACATCCAGTTTAGTGATTATATTAGTTAAAAGCACAAGGAAATCATGAAATTTTTTTTAATTGGAACCCCCACCACCACCTGACGTGAAAATGTTATGACTTGCTTTGTTTTATTTTCAAACTACACCTTTTTGGCACAGAAACTAATAATGCTGCTTTCAAAATATTTTAAATAAACATTATAATTTCTGATCTTCTTAAAATAAGTTTTGAAAAAATTATAATTGATTTGTAAAATAATTTCAAATTGAGATTTTCATTTTTTTTTATAAAATGGAAAAAAATGGTTGACATAATTATCCATCAATTTTGCTGACTCAAAAAAAACAAGATTTTTAACAAAAACTTCAGATGTGCTATGAACGATTAAAAAAATGTAAAAAAATACTCCAAAAATACCTTAATCTTTCCTTTTAATATTAACATAAACATTTAGATGATAAAATTTTGTTTTCATCAAGTTTGGCTATGCTCTTTTTTAGCGATCTCATGGAGGTACCTAAGTTTATTTCAATCTTGCAACATTTATGTCTAGCGGAAATGAAACAAACATCACACACACACACACACATTACACAATAATAATACATTTCATTTTAAAACAGCAATACTTAAATAGACTGGTCTCCTTAAAAAGCAAAGAAAACTACATGTATGTCAAAAAGTCAGAGATCAGTTTGACGTATTTATACTGCTCTCATTTAACCACCATAGAGAAACCTCCCTGCCTCATATCAGCATGGTTAATGCTCAACTTCATGAGAGCACCTCACTACACCATCTTGACCTCACATTTTCCATTGACCTGAGGTGGAAAAACAACTTTGAATCAATAGCTACATCTACCTCAAGAAAATTTGGTTCTCTGTGTCGTGCCAGAAGATTTTTCTTGTCAGAGTTCATCCTTCACCTCTACAAATCTGCCATTCATCCATTTATGGAATGCTCTTGTCATATATGTTCTGGTGCCCTCACTGTTCATCTTGAGCTTCTCAACAAAATCAAAATTCAGATATGCAATGTAAATGGTCCTGACCTGGCATCTCAACTCCAGACACTTTCTGACAGACGTGATATGGCTTCCTTCAGTCTTTTCTACAAATATTTTCATGGCAACTTCACTCAAACTATTCAAACTGCTGATCATAACAGATGATTTAAACTCCCACAGTAAATGTAACTAAGGTTACAAAGCATTCCAGAAGATACATTTTCAACCCAAGACCGTAAGCAATCCTGAATTCAGATTGCAATGTTACACAAGATTTCAGTCTGGAACCATGATCAATCCTAGGATCAACTCATAAGAATTTTGCAGGAGGCATTACTGATATTTTGAAACAGTAATTGTAACAATTTATTTACTAATTTATATCTATCTATCTATGTATATATATATATATATATATATATATATATATATATATATATATATATATATATATGCACACAGACACACACACTGGTAATTAATATAAATTTTGTCAAATTTTCCAACATTCCCTTTCCAATCCTGATGATTGCAACTTGCATAAAACTCAGAGATGTACCAAACAGTGAGTAACCAAATGTATATTTATTATTCGTATAAATTTTATCTGTTATCAGCATGCACTTTATATATATATATATATATATATATATATATATATAATAAAAAAGGCATAAACACTAATATTCCATGGTTATAATTTATTATATTGGAATCGTAATTACGATCCAATACATCAAACCTACAAATTCAAAAAGCAATACATATATATATATATATATATATATATTGGCCGTAAATTTTTGTAAATTAATATCTTTTTAGAAAGATTGAAAGTTTGTGCATGCCCATGTGTGTTTAACTCACTTGATAGATAGACAGATAGATAGATATGAACACATTGAAATAGATAAATATAAACACATTGAGATAGATAGATTATTGTACATATTAATTCACTTGTGCATATCTTGAATTATATATATATATATATAGAGAGAGAGAGAGAGAAAGAGAGAGAGAGTAATTAGTGTGCATATGAATTCCATTTTTTGTATATATATATGGAATGATAGAAAGATACATATGAACACACTGAGATAGATAAATAGAGAGAGGGAGATAGATATGAACAGATTGAGATAGATATGAAAAGATTTAGATAGATAGATAGATAGATTATTGTACATATAAATTCTCTATCTTCAGTGATAGATATTTTCCCTAAAGGAAAGTATAAAATCATGAACACAAGGATGTTTTTTGCAGTATGATTTAAACTCCATTCCACTTCTTCATGTGTCTTTTTCTTGGGCCACATCCTTTTATGCTAAACAAACATTAATAAATTCATTTTTGATTTCATTAACAAACTGTATAACTCTATCTTTCCCATGAATAATGTAAATAAAACTTCCCAGTCTGTGCCTTGTGGTTCAAATTAAAAAAATATTAAATGAAACTAATGATATACATATGGATGAATTTTATCACAAGGAACAGGAAATCCTCAAATGAGTAAATATTAACTTGAAAGGTTGAACTAGATTAGATAAAACTTAATTTCTTCCCAGCAACATGATTTGATATTACCCGAGCTAAAAATTACCCAAGTGTTGATGGATTATAGTAATGGTAATATTATCTGTTTCCTCATAAGGATACATTTGACATTCATTGTCCGAGCAGCCAGTACTACTTTTAGTTGAAATATATAAAATCTATTTGCACATTTTTTCTGGAAAATAGGTTTCTCAAGTCCACTTTGAAATATTGTTGATTATGCCATTATTGCATGTGATATCCATTTTAGTTGTTGCTGCTGTTGAAAGTCCTCAAGTGATGTAGTTTATATTATTTGGTACAGTTCTTTTTGATTCTGTAGCACCAGTCCATGAGTTTCAAAGAAGACTGGCCTTCTCTAAGGCCTATAGGCTTCATTTGCATAAAGTTATTTTTAGCCATTCATCTTAGGAAGCCATTGTATACAACTCATAGTTTAGATATTTCTGAACAAGTTTGGTACCATGTACAGCATCCATATGAAAGTCTCGATCTGATGACGCTATTTAAGAACATGAAGACCTCTGTTAAGTAACTATAAGGAGTTTTGGGTTTAGTCATAATAATAATAGTAAGGATGGTCTTCACTATGATTCTCTGTCTTCACTCACTCAAAATCATTTTTAACCATTGCAGTTGTATACAGCTGACAGCTTAGATATTTCTGAATATGTTTGGCACCATGCATGGAATCTGTATGAAAGTCTCGATCTGATGTGGCTATTTAAGAACATGATTCTAGTTTTCAGGTTGAGGCTTTGGATTTGTAGCAGTTGGCGGTATTTGGCAAAACTCACCTCTAATGGTATTATTAGCCATTTCCTTATAAGGAAGCAATTATTGACTGAGCAACTAGAACTACTTTTGGTTGAAGTTTATCAAATCTTTCACCAAAAACAATTTTTCAGGAAAATAGGTTTCTAAACTCCATTGTTATTATTGTTTCCAGTATTGATGGCAATTTCCTTCCTTACTTTTTTTAAGTAGTGTGGAATGTCAACATCTTTATTTTGTTGTTGTTTTCTTATTGAGTTGCATGTGCTATCCTTTTTAATTGTTAATTGTTACTGTTTTTGAAAGTCCTCAAGTGATGTGGTTTCTGTTATTTAGTACGGTTCTTTGTGATTCTGTAGCATGAGTCCATGAGTTTGAAGAAAGATAGTCCTTGCTAAAACCTACAGATTTAATTTGCTTGAAACCATTTTTAATCCTTGATCTGAAAAAGCAATTGTGTCCAGTTTAAATATTCTTGAATGAAACTGGTGCCATGCCTAATATCCTTATGAAAGTCTCAATCTGACGTGGATTTTTAAGAATAAGACTTGAGTTTTTATTCAAATGTTTTGCTTTTGTGACAGTTTGCAATGAACAAATCTAACCCTAGTACAACCTATTCTAAATTCAGTTTCCAGATTAGATATAACTTAATTTCATCCCAGCAGCATGACTCAGTGTTGCCTGGGATGAAACATCCAAAGTGATGATAGATTATATTATTTTTTTTTAATTATTTCACCTCAAGCAAGGCAATAAAATCACTAAGAGTGTTAGAGAATATGAAAAAAGAAAACATCAATGGGATAGAACTATAAAAAAACAGGAATTCAGAAAATAGCAATTGATATTGCATTTAAATTTTTCAAGATCAACGTTGCCTGGAAAGCAAGAAGCTAAAAGAGAGTTTCACAAAAGTACAAGAGAAAAACTGTTAGAATAAAATTTGCCGTTACATCTAGCCATTTCAACTGTAATATGCTGAGACCTTTCCACAAATCTACTAAATTGTCGTTTAAAAATGTATATTTTCCAAAATGACACAAAAATATCTTGAAATACTAAAGAGTAAATTTATTCAATAAAATCACCATTGGCTTCAACTACAGCCTCCAGATGACTTTGGAATCTCTTGCAACTTTTCTGTCTCCTTGTTTAAGTTGGTGAATGCTGCCATAATCTGCCTTCAGTTCATGTTACAAGGATGGTTTCTTGCTCAACTGTATCCCACACATAATAATCAAGGGGGTTTCAGTCTGTTAAGTGGCCAGATGTAAGGGGTGATGTTGTTACAGCCATGATTAGGTTCCCCTGCTTGTGTGGCATGGTGCAAAGTCTTATTGCCAGACATAGGGCCTTTCAGCAGTCACCCTCTTGACCCTGGGCAGCACTACCTTGTCAAGGCACTTGATGTAGGCCTCCATGTTGAGTCTGAGCCCCTCCCCAACAAATTTGAGAGTTCTTTTCTTATCAGAACCATCAGAGTGAATTTTCTGAGCTGCTGTACCTTTGTAATCACCATTAGACTCATCCAACTCTTTCCAAATTTTCTGCACTGTCCTCAGATTGACAACCAAACATTCTGAAATGTTTGTATCGGAGCTTCCAGCACAAATTCTAAGCAGTACAACATGTCATTTCTAAATTTCTGGCAGAGTGAATTGCATCATGGTGCTCTTTTTCTCACAGATGGTGCCCAACTGAGCCTACTATGCTGTGCAGTTTACAAAATCAAAAACAAACAAAACACATGCAAGAAATTAAAAATATAAAATGGTAACAATTTACCCATCGCACACTGTAGTTCATAAAGTCTTGGTACCATAGAGGAAAGTAATATTTATTTTGAAAATACAAAAATTCAGCACAAGGCCAAAAGGGAGTATAGTGGAAGGCTAGTCTTCAATCTGTTTCATCTTCAACTTAGCTAGCCACGATTACTGACACAAACATACCACAGTATTCCTTACACCTAAACAACACATTCTTACTTACAATTCTTACTACAGCCATCATAATACCTCAAAGTCGCTATGAAATCCTAACTAGTTCCCATATGTACAATTTGTCTATGTGGGACCAGGAATAAAAATAACTTTTAAAAATAAAAACCCTATGGATATAGAGGAAAGTTCATCAGAACAATTACCATGAAAATATTTATAGAAAAGGCACAGGGAAGCTATGTTACAGTGGTGAGAAAGTAATTGAAGCCAAGATACCAGGTCAGGACCAATAATATTGTAGATTCTTCTTTGTATTTTATGAAGAATCTTTAAATACAGAAGTACTTGAAAAAAATGTGCTCAATGAAAGTATTGTGCATCTACAAGAGTCAGCAAGTGGATGAGTGTTGTTCCTATTTGGGTGAGTGTGTTTAAATCTTAGTTCTGTATGCCAAAGATAAAGACATTTTACTGACACAGATAACATTTTCAGCCATCAGGTTTCTGTTTAGAGGAAGAAAAAATATGTTTTTATAATCACTGTTAATCTCTTAATCTCATCAACCATGTGTGTATTTCAGTTTATATAAGAAACAGATACTTATTCTACAGAGACGATATTGTGTGATCATACAAAGAAGATACAGTTTAGGAACTGCTCCCAGTAGAATAACATATACAAAAAGATGGCTCCCACAAGAAAGCCTTTTTTGTATTTGTAAAAGCTGCCACCTCATTTTTTTAATTTGGCTTGACTACCATTTTTCCAGGTCCATGGTCCTGTAGTAACACAACTTGAATGAAACAGTTGACTAAATAGAATAAGCCAAGCTGACTAAAGTAATGCTGCAATCTCATCACAATATTTTGACAAGTACAATTCAGGCCTTGTTGAACAATCAGATCTCCATAATTGAACTATTTTTACTAACTGTACCAAATAACAGAAACCACATCACTTGGGAACTACCAACAGCTGCAACAACTAAAATGGATAGCACATGGAACTCAAAGAGAAAATAATGACATAATCAAGATGTTAACATTTCACACTACTTCAAATAAAAAGTTAAGGAGGAAAACCCCCATTAATACTGGAAAGAGTGTTAACAGCTACTGGACTTGAGAAACCTGTTTTTGTGAAAAATTATGTTAAGAGAAAGATTTTATAAATTTCAACCAAAAGCAGTACTGGCTGCTCAGTCAATAAAGGCCAAATGTTTCCTTATAGGGAAACAGCTAATATTGTTATTGACATTACCATCACCATTAACATTGTTCTTTACTATTTTATCTATCATTAATTATAATTAGGTTGAATATAATTACTTACTGAAGGCAGATCTAGCACAATAGTAAGCAAGGTTATTTTATTTAAATTATCAGTTGTTATTTTTAGGTTTTCTTTGTAATTATCAACAATGTACATGTTTATTAATTCCATTCAGTCAAGGCCAAGTAAACAGTAGTCAGGCTAAAATTTTCTTTATTTTCCTCAGAATATTTAGAAACTGGATTTTGTTAAATCTGATTTTTTTATGTGCATTTACAAGAGAACCAGACTGACATGAAAAAAGATTTGGGTGTGTCTAGCGTAGGCAAAAGTTGTGTTTTCCTGAATATTTGTTTGGAGAAGATAGACCCTCAGAATTGAATGGTGTTGCTGCTAAATTTGCATGCCACTCATTGTGATAATTCCCATGTGGATGGTGATTCTTGGATATCACTGATTCATAGCCAATCTTTGACTGGATATGTGACAGGTATCTAAGACTTATTCTTTTCAGTGTTGTCAAGTGGGTTGTTGGTTAGTGAGAGTTGGGAGAGCCTTACTTGGATGTGTGACTGTTCATTTTTCTATTCCTTGAATTTGTGGCTACTCAAATTTGCAACTGTTGTTATTTTTT